ATAATATTACTTATATATTAGTAGTATAAATAAATATATATATATATATATATATATATATATATATTCATGGACAAATCTTTAGTAAAAATACTTCATTAAAAACACATATTTTTGTGTACAAACGACTTGTAAAGTTCACTACACCTCTGCCACATTTTGTGAATATACACATACTGTATTATAATTATAGTATTAAAACTGTATTTTAGTACAAAATGGTCACGTGTTCGGTCCTGGGACCGAACCCGTACTGAGAGAGTTAACATAATAAATTGTTTATAAATTTCATTTGATTTATAATTTTTTGTTCGTTTCTGTATGGGCCCCTGGCGGTTGCCTAAACCGCCTAAGCCTTAATCCGTCACTGACTAGGTATTATAGCTCAACATGAAATTTCAATTTACAAAGAGATTTGTGAAATGCCGTGAGATTTTGTTACCTTTGAATGGTTACCATCAACAAAGAACTCTGCTTCAGTCCGACCAACTCCACTGTTTATTGGAGGAGCAGAGAATACGTCAAAAACCCCGCCTTCACCTTGAGAAAACTGGTCTAGGATCTCTGAGTTTCCTCTTTCTGCAAACAACTTGATGCCGTCAGTCGCTACTTCTCCAAGTCTCCATAGCTTGTAGCTGTCGTTGTGAGAGCGACCTGCACAAGTAACCGAATGGAATAGACAATGAATTTAAACATGATACATGTACGTTAATTACAAGAACAACACCAAATAAAGTCAATCGCGGGCTACAGGAGAACATAGTCTGAGATGAGAATTAAGTTGCAAGGTAATGGCTGTACAGAAGATATTTGTTTAGAGAAAGCACTAACTCAAGTTTCAGTTTAATAACAAGCTAGAAAGGTGGATAACACATGGTCTTTTTCTCTCATTTAGCACTCTTCGCTCTGATATTTGCTTAAAGGTTTATTCCATCATGTTAGAAAAATGTGTATTTTTACCTTTCTGTGAACCTGAAGTTCAGAAACATTTTCTAAAGTTACGAAATAGAGAAGACGAATTTACTCATTTTTTACAGTGTTTACGGAGAAACAATACAATATCCTTGAAACGTTTTGTAGATATTGTTCTCAGTAGTAAAAAATGCCTATACTGCTAACCACTTTCCCGCTCATATCATCCGTTATGATGCAACTAATTTTTCGACCTGCTACTCCGTGATTTCGACTGATATTTTAAAAACTATTTTTATACTTTATTTAGTTAGTTTCCAAAGAAATGAGTGGGGAAATACGATCAACTCATATTATCAATTTCTCTTTTACTCGTGCTAAACATCTTTAGTCCAAGAAACAAATAATAAATAATATCAGATTGTTTGTCTCTTATGTTGTTAAGCGCTAAGCTGCTATACTACTACAGTGCAAATTTTCAGACCAAAGCACTATTCTTTGCCTGGGAATTCTCTTGTTTTTAAAAATTAATGCAAATTTAAATAAGTGGAATAATAATAATGAAAAAGATTTTTAGTTAAACATTTTAAAGAATGTGTACAGTGTCAAAAACCAACATTGCATGTCTTTTTCGTACACTTCCAGCAGATGGCGAGACCGACTGAATGAGATCAAATGCGTTTGTGGAAATGGTGTAATATTATTACTAATAGTTAACGACTGATGTAGGGGATGTTTAGTGACTTGTAACTAATAATTTAATCTATCCTTCGTTATAACTAATTTCATTAAACATTATTGATCGTTGAATAGTTGAGTAATTTCTTGAAATGTAACTACATTATTGGAAATTATTTTACATTATTGGCCAAGTATATTTATTGAATAGCTGGAGTACCTGTCCCCTGGACGGAAGTTATGTAAATCCATGATTGATGGAAGGTTACCTTAGGACATGAAAAGTTTCTTTCTTTATATGTAATTGCAAAAAAATTAAAAAACGCCCATAAAAATAGCAAAACACAAAATGCACAACTGAGAATTTGTTTGTACCTTCCCATTGATCCAATGAACCTCCATACCAAATTTGGTGAATATCCATCCACATCCTGCGAAGTAGTTACATGGACATACAACAGACAGACATCACTATTATATTCATATAGATTTAGGATTAACTCAAATCTATTAATGTGGCGGCGCAACCTGGTGAGATGTTCAGATTGCGACTAAAGATACTCAACTGACGAATTAGTCGCGGTCCTTTCTTTAATAATTACACTAGTAATTCCCTTTACTAGCCTTATACAGTATCATTGTAGACTGAGTTATATTGTCTGACACTGAAAATTTAAAAGCGACAAAAGGATCTTCAAGGGAGCATTTGCAGAGGATTAGTCACACATTTCATAATAATCATTTGCATATATAATAATAATAATATAGAAACGTTTCGTCGCGAATACGAGATGCGAGGTCATGAGCAGCATTTTAGCAGCTTTATACTTAGTTTACGGCAAATTCTCGACCAAACCATGTACATTACCGTTGTGAGTAGACTTACGGATGTTTTTATTACAGTTCTTAGGGATGGCTATGCCTGAACTTCTCCCTAAGGTGGCCTTTTAGATGTTGCCCAATGTATCTTTCTGATTGAAAATGCGAAATGTGAAACCTTATAATCACAGTCTACGGTTGGTGACTTAAAAATAATATGTTTGTTCATACGTTTTAGTTTTTGTAAGATGACTGGTGGGAGCAGAAGTAACTGTAAAAATGATTAGCTTGAAATTTGTATGATCTCTATACCAATGATAGCTAGTGAAAGTAAAATTACAAGGTTACGTTTTTGTGATTTCAGATTTAAAAAGTTTATGAAAAAATTTTATATATTTTTCAGCTTCGCTTGAGAGTGAATAGATAATTAAGGAAAAAAAAGAAAAAAATACTAATTATTTTTTATCGTTGAATACATCCTAATCTAGTTATAACTGTTAACTTATTTATCTAAACATAATAAATGCACTTTATTAACTGATTTTCTTTCAATTTAAATATTTGCAAATTATATAATAAAACACTTTCTGTTGCATTCTGTTTCATATTATGTCAGTGTTTAAAATTTCACTGAAATCGCTAACTTTGTCCATAAGGCAATGAATAATTCGCAATTACTTTCAATTTAGAATATATAAAGAAACATCGATGTTACAGCGCACTTGAGTTGTAATTTCCAGCTGACATATATACTAACCATAGCATATCACTGAAATTTGATTTTTTGTTTTAGTCATTGCCATATATGATTGAATAAACTAAAATGTTAATTTAGAAGTTTGTGAAAATTTAGATTACAAAGCATTACTTTAAGGTTTGTTTACTTGTAATGCAACAAGGCTGTTCTCGTCAGTTTATCATCACATATAATCAGATTCCACCAACAGACCGTTACTGTGGTTAATCAAACAGTTGATGTCTGTAATAAATGTGTATTTGTCTTCTTTAGTCCAGGTAATGTTTCTTTCTTCTATTATGAAGGTAAAAATACCATCTGTAACTGGTATATGTTACAAATTTGTTTATTTAAACTTCTACTGCAGCACTATATACACATGTTTAAAATTGTAGATTTGGTGCAGCATGGGCTTGAATACAACAATCGGAAAAGCTACATATTTGAATATTAGAATAAATTAGGCCTGGAACTTGTCAATACACAGAAAGTAGAAAATATATACAACACACATCAAAAAGTTTTTCAAGAAGATCCAAAGCTGAAAAAAAACAAGATTTTTCAAGACATCGTTTTGAGCAAATGTCCTTCATCAGGCTTAACCAGTTGAAATTCATCTCCCCGAATTATCACCTTCTGTTTCTTCTTCAGTTGTGGGCTAGTGTTCAAATAATTTTTGTTGCATAGAACAGGCATGATGTATAGCCTAATCTTAACATCAAGATGTGCAGTGCAATCTTATCATCATGGCATAAAGGCGAATCTTAGCACTGTAGTACCACAGTTAATCAATTAAATCATTTTATTTTTGTTGTTGTTTTTTCATCATATTTAATCTAACCGTATTTATCCAAACACTTCATGTCGGCTGAGAGATCGGTGCCGTATATTACTTATAAAAATTGCTATTTGAAGAAAGAACAAGAATAACATGTATTTATATCTGTGTAAGCTCCTTTTCAAAGGTTACTGTGAGTAACAAATGATAAAAAGAATCCCAAGTACTTTTTCAAGTGTTTACATGTCAGAAATCATGAATAGAATGCCAGCTTCCTTGTTTACACAGTCTCCTTTACATGTCAGAAATAATAAGTAGAATGTCATATCCCTATTTGCACAGTCTTTTAAATGTCAGAAATTATAAATAGAATAACAGCTTCCTTACTTACACAGTCTTTTAAATATCAGAAATCATAAATAGATTGCCATCTTCCTTACTTATACATTATTTTACATGTCAGAAATCAACCAACTTCCTTACTTTACTCGTGGATAGAAACAGGCTACTAAAGAATGACATGTAACAACTGTCTGTGCGACATGTGGGCTGGAACAACGTATTATAGAAGGGTATGAAATATTTTACAAAACGTTCGAGTATCCAAGATGAGTAATAGTAGGTAATTAGCTTCTAGTCCAAATATATAAGGACATACTGCTGTACAGATGAAATGATTTTCGGAGATCATACTAAATAAGAAATATCTAGAAACATATATGTTAGAGTTTCACAACATTTGACAGAACGAGAAAATGAATGCTGTTCAATTGTTTTTTTCTTGGAAAATGGCGGTCATGTTCTCTGCAAACTTCCAATATTAATAATTTTAAACGTTTTCTGTAGGTTACAACATAAGTTTCGAAATATATGTACTAATTAACTGATTAATTAATGAATTTTGTGATTTATTATGGTTTCTAAGTCCTTATTATCAACATTATATCCTAAATTCAGCCAAGATTATAACTTACCTTCAAGCCGACTGTTAATATTGTTTATTCATTTTTAAAATCTAAACTGCACAATAGGCTATCTTTTAGACTTTTAAAGGTACTTTTTTTTCTTCATCTGCCCAGTGAACAAAATTTACTTGTTTCCGACATTTACATCAATAAATGCTATTCACTTTTAATCTGTATATAAGCATGATTATCTGACAAAATTATCTGGTTGAAAAATTGTAAAGCAAAATAAATTTTGATAATATCCAATTATTATCATTTTTGAGTTCGACAAAACTAGAGATAAAAACACTTAAATCATAATTATAAATTATATGGCTATTATACAGTGCTAATGTAATTAGATTATAATACTGTAGAGAGTTAAGTTGATATTACATATGCACCGCCACTATTTGTATTTTCTGAATAATTCATGATTACTCAAGCCTGGTTTAAATCTATGATTGTTATAGATGATGCAATTATTTTAGGCTTTTTCATAATTTTAATTCTATATTTGTCTAAAAAGCTCGCGAAATATTTGAAACTTTCATTGATAATATCTGAGTTTAAAAATATTTATAATAAATTATTACGCGTTTTCTTTTTATACCCTCAATTTTAGCCGTTGTAAATAAGTTTCAAACTCATTGATATTCAGTAAAATTATTCGATATTTGTTTTGAAACCTTGCACATTTATCAGACGTTTTAGTTTTCTTCTATAGCTAACAAAATGGAAAAGATTCAAATTTTGAAACTATTTAGGAACAAGTTTTAAAAGCAGTTTTATTTTTCAAATTTCTTTAAAGAACGTAAATCAATACTAATATAATATTACATATATAACGAATGTAGTTATACACAAACAAGTTGTTTTATTTTACCATCTTAATTGTTTGAGAAATGTTTTAAACTTTTGTTAATCCAGTCATAATTATGATGTATTCTTATACTTCTATATTATTGATGTTAACAAGGCATTTTATTAATATAGCCCCTTTTCCTTTCTATTGACAATCCAATTTGTGCGTCATCCGTTCGACACATCTGCAAAACTTTGAGCGTCTAATATCTTTTGGCTTTCGTTTTTTTGTTTTCTATTATTATTATTACTTAATCCTTGAAGATTCGTTTGGTGCAGTGGGCGTCTAACAACTTGGCAAAAGAAACTGCACTTACAATGAGCGATTATGGTGTCAGAAGAGACTGCTTGGCGCCTACAAGAGAGTAGGGTTACGAGTTTTTATGGAATCGAAACCTTGCCAAGAAAAATACAAGGAAACAAATTTAACAGGATTATTATATTTTAAAACAATAAAGAAAACAGTGAAATTATAAGCAAGAAAAAATTGAAAACTTGAGCAATGTTGAATGTTTTCGCAAAAGATGAGATATGTGTGACAAACCTTATATATTTCAAAGGTTTAGTGGGTTATATCAAACCAATTTTGTAGCTTCATCACGTCATTATAGTCCCTGTCACCACGTCCGGTCGTGCTACATCTTGCTTATTGACAATAGTCCTGCAGAATAGTTTTCCATTGCAAGAGGATCTGTCATAAGGCTTTCTACAAGTCACTGAGTCTACAAAGAGAACGGTTTTTCAACTTCCGTTTCAAAAGTCCGATTGCACAGAAATTCATTGGGCAGTGCGTATTCGTAAATTCTCACCTTATACATGATATATCATTTTGCTTATAATGGCTGGGATACGGCTTATTGCAGGTTTTTCTCTAAATGGCTAGATGCGAAAGTTGATTCATATTCATTTGCCTTACAATTCCATCAAATACAAGGGTTATCTCCGTCTTGGAAATTCTAAATATTCGACCTGAACGCATCTGTATGATCTGGATGTATAAATATTTTGCGTCGAAAAGGCCTGTTACATACCCTTCCCAAAAGCGATCAATTTTCGGTGGCATCACTACTTATGAGTGCCAAACAATGTTGAAATGTAGTTCTCGTACATTCCGTTCCACCACGACTTTATATCGGTTAAGGTTTTCATCGTTTAAGTATATTGCACTAACACTACAGTTTCTGTAGTTAAACCACATTTCATAATACACATTAAGTACATGGATTAAATATATATATGTAAGACTGCTAAACTCATTAGATATCAAATTGCAAGTCACGAATACACTTTGATAAAATCCTGAATAACACTATTTATTAATGTAAGGTTGTTTACGTTTTTAGGAATTGGATTGGTGTTATCTATAAAGAAGTAATAATAATTTACGATTCAAGTATGTAATGGTCAATGGTCATTCACTATGTTTACTGCTGCGTATTAAGACACTGTATAACTTATACATTATTATAGCAATCAAATAGCATGTTGTTTATTTGTGTACGGAAGCACATCATGTTAGTACAATAGTAAATTGAAAAACACGATTTATAAGAATAATGAAAAATATTTTATGCTTATAAATCGTTATTTGTCAATTTACTATTAATATGTTGTTTTGAAACAATAATACCAGTAATTAATTACTTTATCACAGCAACCAAATACTGTATTACTCCAGCAGCAGAAAATTATTATTATAGAATAAGAATATTTTGTTTCATAGAAACTTTATATCGAAACACAACCCAATAAATTAGATCAATTAAATTATAATAAAAAAGATCCGACATTATATTCAGCTATAACGTTTTTGCTTGAATATTAAGTTATTCAAAAGAAACTAAAAAATGTAAATATATATTTCAGTTTAAATAGATGAGGACTGAAGTGCAGATTTCTCAGAAACAAAGTGCGGAAGCGGCTGTCAAAGTAATACTACCATGTGTGTATATTACGTAAATGTAAAATTTCTTTACCAAAAACTAATTAAACTTATCAACAGTTAAATATTTAACTTTCTGGCATGTTCCAAGATGATAATGGATAGTGGTTAGGTGATTAAAATTCCACAAACAAAGAGAACCTCTCAAGTGGAAACTATTAAGAAATAAACCTTTATCACCAAACAAAATGACAAAAATAACGAACTCAAAGAAGCAGTAGAAAATAGTGGTCCTACTTCTAAAGATCTCCATGTTTCTTAAACTCAACTTCAAGAATGTACAGTGATAATGGTGTATGTCATACTGTTGTATATTTGTATCAAATAAAGAATAATTCTAACCGTACAAGATGATATAAAATAATGAACACAATAAAACAAAATCTTACGATAATCTAATTTTCTTCCATATAGTGGTTTTGGTTTAGTTTCATTTATAGATCTAAATAGTATATAGCTCAGAAATAATTATTAAAAACGGTTGAATTATTCCTTAAAATGTCTCTCTTTTCTTACCAATGAATTGAAAATGTTTATTTTATGAAGGAAAAATTTGATAATTTAAAGTATATACATAAATATCGCTTTCAAGTTAGGGCTTTCTTGGCTATTTAGTGATGTCTGAAGTGAATAATAAATATAAAATGTAAATATGCTTCACTTGATGGTAGTGTCGTGTTTATTACTGGAGTTATTTCACAAAACTCCGTTTTAAAGTAACTTCATTATGACTTCTTAGATATAAACGCTTTACAGTTGTTACGTCATCATGCACTAAATAAATATATATATCAGTTGATTTTAACAATTATTTCACAAAACTCCGTTTTAAAGTATCTTCTTTATTACTTCTTAGATATAAGTTTTACATTTGTTACGTCATCATGCAATAATTCCTAGAGAAATATTAACAGCGGAAATGAAAGTGAAGGAATGAAATCTGTCACGCGATCAAAGCTGCAAGTATAAATCCCCATCGCTCTTAATTTTCACTTCTTTATCCCCCGGTAGGACAGTGGTAAGTTTATTGACTTACAACATTAAAATTCGGGGTTCGATTCCATGATAGGCACAGCAGATAGCCCATTATGGTTTTTCTCTAAACACTTTGCTCTTTCACATCCTTAAATTAATAGTTATTTCTTAAAGTGTTTTGGGCAAGAGTCTCTGGTTTAAGATAATTAAAAACTAATTAATGTTAACAGTTATCCTTTCTATTAATATTAATAAAAATGAAATTAGAGCTAGGTCAGAATGACTTATTTTAATAAACAATTTTAAGAGGGTTATAATTATACTCATAGCGATTAGAGAAGACACTAGATGGTAAAAATATTTGAGGTTTTTCTTTATAGAGATTTACTTTAATCTAGCCAGATTTTTTTTACGATGTGCAAGGCCGGATGCTGCTTAGTGCAGAATGCCCAAATTTTCAACTTGAGGCCCTCCAAAACCTGAGACACCCTGGTTGAAGACCCCGCTTCCAAGCAAATGTCTTCCCTACTATCTTGTTTGCATTATTTTCGAAGGATTGATATTATCTATCTCTAAGTTTACTTACTTTTTTGGAAAGTTTTTTTCTTTACATGTGATATACATTAGGCCACATGTTATTTGAAATCAAGACATAAGAAATTGGTCAGTGTTGGTTTGTTTGTAATTATTTTATTTCTTCGGTATAGTAAATACGCAAGAATGAAAAAAGCTATATGAATTGTGCTTTTATGCCTGATAAGAGACTGAGCAAAAAAAGCTGAACAAAGCTGTCTATTTGCATAGATATGAGTTTGCCAATTCTAAGAAGTAATAAATTCAGCAATCCTAATCCACCTGTAATAAACTAATCCAACGGAAATACGTAATATAAGACCCGTTTACCAAACGTCACCATTTTAATTACTGTTAAATCTTCTAAAAGAAACGTTGTTATTCAAAGAATTCCTTCCTACAGTTAGCAATTCATAATCCTCTTTCCAGTTAAACCTGTTCTAACATGCTTGTAACTTTTACACTTGTGTTTTTGTTTTTCTTTTGTTGTTTTATATAATCTGATAATTTTATGAACACTCCTGTTCCCTCTTATGATATTTGTGATATTCCGAAACATCTAATACACATGGTTTTCACTATAAAACTCTAGTCATGTCATTTTATTAAACTTTTTAAAATCATCTTGAAAGAAAATACATACAAATAAAAAGTTGGAAAAATTTCTTAATAATTAATATTTGAAAACATATGAAGTTTTTTAGAATAATTTTTACTGTTATACAGAACTTTGTAAACATTTCTTATAGGAATGAGTTTAAAATTATTGATAAACATCAATAACATTAAAAATTTCAGGACCTTTATTCATACATATTTGCTATTGTTCTGAACACATGTGACAAATGTCCTATACAAGCTGCAGTTTAGCTATATATCTGTATATAAAGTGACGTAAGGGAAACGTGTCATTTTCAAGACTTCTCTAAAACTTACCCAAGGTTTTCGACCACTGGGCGTGAGGTCTCCACTGGGGATACTGTTTCGGGAACTTTTCTTCTGACCACTCTGTGACCAGTGACACCCTATACACAGTGAGCCTGTCTTCCGAACAATATTGAGAAGCTTTAACCACTATGGCAAAGATACATGTTACCAACAAGCCCCATTTTACTGGCCTCTGTCCACTAGTACTGTATACCATTTCGTGTATAATGGACTTCTGCACTGCCTTATTAAAAAATCTTGGTTTCTTAAGCACCAAAGAAAATGAGTGCTCATTTATAGTCTCCTTGCACATAGCATACACGTTACGTCATGTCTTGATGTAATAAGATAATTGGTCAGTTTAAAAGGATGAGGAGGAGTATGTGTAGTAGCCCCACCTTCTCAACATTTATAAGAAGAATGACCCACTAAACATTAGTCCGCCAGAAGAAAGGATGGGTTAAACCAAGGAAACTAACAATACAGTTCTACTAACCCAGTTTTAAAGAACAAGAATAAAATTATTTGCTTGTAATTGAAGTAGATAAAAAATAGGTCTCGAGCACCAGACAATCGTGTTGTATTTTATTCATTTCTCTTAGACGGCGCTCGGTAGAATAGTAAGAATGAGATCACAAGTCAAATCATCTTACGTTTTAAACTATATCTTAACAGAATTTAGTGGCATGAAGAAAATTCTCAAAGTCAGCCTCAAAACATGGTCGAATTCCTCTAGAAATTATCAATGAAGTATAAAATATACACTAAAATGAAGAAAAAGTTTCAACATTGAATCAGCATATTTCGTTTTCTACTGAAAATTAGGTTTAAAGTTTAACGTTTTATCTTCTTGAAGCATTTCTGAATAAGAAAGCATTATTCACAATTTATAAACCGTATGAAAAAGTACTCGTAACGCCGTCTTAAGGAAAAATATGAAATAGATGGATCAATCAATGGGTACATAGATCGATAAACGACAAATTTCTTCGGATAGGTGACGTTACAACTAGGACGCACACATGAAACCAGCTATGAGGAGGCGTCAGTTTCTCTTCTGTGACACAGAAACACAGTGACACTGACACTATTCCTTTCGTTGTAGAAAAACGACGCTGTACACTGAAGGTTGCTGGTTGTCCAGAAATTGTAGGTCATAGAAGAGTTGTAAATTACACATATATGTGCCATAAATACTAATTTGTAAATAAAAAATAGTTGACTAACAATATTCATATATCGGAAAAAAGATTAACAGCAGATGCAAATAGACCTAAAAAGATTTAAGGCACACAAAGAAAATATTCGCTGTAACTTCAATATGAAAACATAGTAGCTGAATAATGAATCTTGGCTCGCGAGCTCCTTTGGCTGGAATGAAATGACACACTAAAAAATAATAATAATAATGAATCTTGCTTGCGTATTATATTTCTTAAAAAACTAATATTTTACTGCGGATTACTTTTATTAAAATATAATATTCTTACCCACTTATTACTGCTGTTTACTTCCATTAAAGTATAATATTCTTACCCATTTATTACTGCTGTTTACTTCCATTATTATTTGCCCCAATAGCCAAGAGGTACGTCAGAAGGCTTACAACGCTAAAAAAAAAAAGGGATTTAGATACCCGTGAAAGACACAGCAAAGATAACCCATTGTTATTTTACACTCATAACTTAGGTAAATTATTTTGTAGAATTATACACGGACTTTTTTTCTATGTTCAAATATTTTTATTTGTAAGCTTTCGGCTCTCTTACTGGAGCCTTCATCGGGCAACAATCTGATGAAGGTTCCGATAAGAGGGCCCAAAGCTTACAAATAAAAGTCTTTTAACGTAGAGAAAAGTCCGTGTATAATTCTACGTACAGATAGCCCATTGTTAATTTCCATTACTATGTAATATCGTTACCCATATATTACAATTATTTACTTCTATTACTATATAAAATCCTTACTCATCTATAACTGTTGTTTACTTCTTTCCTCCGTGCCCATCTATTACTGCTATTTACATACTTTACCATATAATATACTTGCTCAACCATTACTGCTATTTATTTTTGTTACTATTTAATATCCTTATCGCCCATTACTGCTATTTACATATAATATCCTTGCCCATCTAATACAGCTATTTACTTTTATTATCATATAATATACTTTCACGTTTATTAATGTTGCTTATCTATAATACTAATAATATCCTTGTATATTTATTGCTGTTGTTTACCTATAATAGTGCATAATATCCTTACCTACCTATCGTGGCTGTTTAATCATGTTCCTGTACAATATCATTACTCATGTATTACTGTTAATTACTTCCAGTACTACTAGATGTACTTCCGTAGGGTCACCGAAAATGTTCTGTTTCAAGGGTATTTAAATAAAGCCAAAATTAAGAATACCAAATATTTTTATTTCTTACTTCTGAAGTTCATATGTCATGCTGTGTCGTATCCAATAGAGTGCGTAATTCTTCTCGTGATTCATAGCATGCGCACATTTTACTGACGTCACGAAAGCACAAATTGCAACGTTAAGTGTCCCATATGTGAAGTCATTTTAATGTCTACTGACTGATTGGCAGACAACACCCTACTGTACAGTAATGCGAGTGGTTAATACAGGTGACCCCTCCAGGCGGCTTTCGGGGAAATAAAATACTTTTGCGCATCTATTGGTGTTATTTACTTCTATAACCATGTATTACTGTTGCTTCCTTTTATTAATTTTTATTAAGGTTATCCATACATTCCTGCTATTTACTTCAATTATTATATAATAATCTTGTCCATTTATTCCTGCATTTTATTTCTACTGCTATATAGTATGCTTGTCCATCTATTGCTACATAATATTCTTGCTTATCTCATACAATTATTTACTTCTATTACTATATAATACCTTTGCACAACTATTATTGCTGTTTACTTACATTACAGTATGATATCTTTACCAATCTGTTACTACTTTTTACTTACACTACTATATAATATCCTTAAACATTTATTATACTGATTACTTCTTTTACTATTTAATGTTCTGAGCCATCTATTACTGCAGTTCACCTCTATTACTAAAAAAAATCCTTACCCATCGATTACTACTATTTACTTCTATTACTGTAAAATATCCTTGCCCATCTATTAGTGCTATATACTTGTATTATAGTTTAATATAATTGCCCATTTATTACTGCTGTTTACTTCTATTACTAGTTACATCCTTACGCATACTTTTCTTCTATTCATATTTAATATAGTTGTCAATCTATTACTGTTGTTTACTTTTGTAACTATATAATATCTTTCCTGTCATTTATTTCTATTACTATTTAGTAATCTTACCCATCTATTCCTTTTATTTACTTCCATTACAATAAAATATATTTACCTATTTATCACCGCTCTTTACTTTTATTATTATAAATCCTAACCCATCTATTAAAGCTGTTTATTTCTATTACCATATAATATTTTTCACTATCTATTAGTGCTGTTTGGTTCTATAACACTTAACCGTCTGTTATTTCTCTTTATTTACAGTACTACATAATATCTTTCCCCATCAGTTACTGCCTTTCTCTTCAATTTCTACACAAGTAAAGAAAAACTTTCCAAAAATGAAATAAATGTAGGGATGGCTGATATCAAACCTTCAAAAACAATGTAAACAATATAGTAGGGATGGCACTTGCATCATCCCTACGTAATAGCACAGACACACAGTGTAGTAGAATTTTAACAGACAAGAATAGGATAAATTAAACTCAGTTGTGATTGAATATTTATATATATATTGCTATATGTTAATTCTTGCCTGTGCTATTATGTAGGAATGGTGCAAATGTCATTCCCACTATCTTGTTTGCTTTGTTTTTGAGGGATTGATATTAGCCATCCCTACATTCACTTCCCTTTTTTGAAAAGTTGTTCGTTACTTGTTTGCTTGTTGTTTTTAATGCAGTATTTTAATAGAATTAAGAAGGTTGTAAATATACCAAAGTTCTAAGTACAATAAGATTCCAACTGTAATATTCATTGTTTATCTATTATTGGCTGGTAATTCTTGTTTCACCCTGTAATAAGTTTTTTAAAGGAACACTAAATTTCTCTAAGAAAGCTATCTTCTAGAGGTAATGATAACATCGTTTACACTAGAATAATAATGATTATTTTTTAATTACTACCAGTTACTAATAATACTTATAAAAGTGGATACACCGTTTGAAACAATGTTAACTCAGTGAAATTGATTGACACCATTGTTTTGGTTTTGAGTTATCGCGTAATAAAAAAGAAGTAGAATAAAGAAGAATTCCCAGAACTTATGACTCAGTCATTACATAGATATTGTTATAAAAGGAAACACTGTATAATGTTGTAAAGTTCTGGTGACTTATTGAGGAGATATTTAAAACACCATTTCGATGAACAATCCGAGACATTCCTACATAGGTTGCGATATCGCCTGCCTGATAATATCCTTATCCATCTATAACGATTACTTATTTCTATTACTACACAAAATCTTTATTTATCTATTACTGTCATGTACTTACTTCTACTACTATTTAATAACCTTCTCCTTCAGTTACTGCCGTTTACTTTTATTACTATTTAATATATTTACGCACCTAATATTACTGTTTACATGTGTTACAACATAATACCTATTCTCATATATTATTGTTGCTTTCTTACATTTCTATATAATATACATACCCATCTATGTTTCGATTATTATATAATGTCATTGCCTACCTATTACTGCTATTTACTTATATTATTATATAATTATTTTGCTTATTTATAACGCCTGTTTAATTCTATTATTACATAATATTCATAATCATCTACTACTTACATCTACGTTTACTTGATTTACTACATAATATAATTTGTCATCTATTACTGCTGCTTACTTACATTATTATATAATATCCTTAACCATGAATTACTCCTGTTTATCTATATAATATTTTATATCATTACCCAGCTATTTGTGTGGTTAACTTTTATCACTACAAATTTTCTTTGACTGTCATTTACTTCCATTTCTATCTACTCCTTTCCACCTATTACTGCTTTTTACTTCCATTACTATATAATATTCTTACTAACCATTATTGCTATTTACTTCTATTACTATATAATATTCTTACCCAGCATTACTGCTATTTATTTCAATTACTATATAGTATCTTGTGTCTTACGGTATAATATACTTACCCATGTATTACTACTATTTAATATT